TGCATGCAGTTTAAATAGGCCGAGTACCGGTATTAGGTCAAATGGGATGGTGGAACACAATAAAATACCGTAACACCAGATTAATACCAGGATGGAATATTATTTGTGTAATTAAAAAAAAGTAGGTGTCATATGAGAAATATAAAAGGAAAAATACAGAGGTCTATTTCAAGTACAATATTGAAAAACGGAAATTTTGTGCCATTTTTTTGTTTCTTGACACTTCAATATAATCATTAAATAACACATTAATGAGAAACCGTCTCACTTTGACATATTTTTTCAGTGTATTTCAGTGAGGATTTCTCTTTTCATTTTATTTAAAATCAACTAGTATATACTATATTTTTTTACAGTTTTCCCTAATCTGCAATTCTTGTTTTACTTTAAACAATACAAAAATAAAAAACAATAGGTGAAAAAAAAAACAAAAAAAACAACATCAAAACGGAAAGGAGACAAATCGGTTTAACCCATCCTCAACTACAAGTGTAGATCGACGGCAGCATGTTAAGTTTTTGTTTCTTTATTATGCGTTGTAAATGTCAACCGTAGCCAACAAAATGACATCCAATAGAACCAATATTAATTGATAATTTTGGAGCCAAAAACGTGTCACTGAAGGGGATACTCTCGAAAATCTTAAATATTGTATATTGTCCCTTAAAGAGGGGGGGGGGGGGTTGACCTTAAAGAGGGGGGGGGGGGGACACACAACAATACAACGACAATCTGTAATTTAATTGATCTAAGAACGAGTTACAATAAAACTAACTAAATCTTAAAAACTTATTGTTAATACAAATATATATTTAGGATATAAAATCAACATAAATGTGATTAAAACTCAGAAATTGTATCATGAATCAGGTGCGTGAATAAATAATATAATCAATATTCTTTTTTTACAATATAAGAAGATGAAGATATAATAGGGCCGTAATGGTTTAGACCTCTTCGTGCATGTTGTGGGCACAAGGGCCAAAATTCGTATACAATTATAATAATGGTGTAACAAGACTATTGTCAATTAAGAATTAAGATTTGAATAAAATATCATTTTGAGTCCAGCTATTGTTATTGTCATGGGAAATAAGGGTTGAATTGACCAGGCCATTGACATTCTCCCTTGTCCTTGTCCATTAATTAAGTTCCCTTATGGGTTCGGGCGGAGGGTAACGATAGGCATAGGCATATCCTTCGTTTCATTCCCCTGCTGAATGAGGTGAATGAGGAGGTTCTACCAGGAGGTATAAAATATATACCTTCATGGTTCTACTGTAGGCTTAATATAATAATAATTCTGTACTGTAGGCATATTACCCATAATCTGTGGCATTTACAATACAAGTGGTTAATTTATGTAATTAGCCCCCCCCCCCCATCAGCCTCCCAATTCCCAAGACTTCTAGATACGCCACTGCTAATGACAAAGAATGCTGTGAGTTTCAACAGCAGTAATAGAGTGGTGGTGGTGGTGTAGGCCTAAGCTTGTTGGTCACCAATTGAGTAGCAGGACCATTGCAGGGTTTTCTTGCAAACTCAGATGAAAACCTGCTAAAGGTGCAAATTTTCTGGTAAAGAAAAATAGAAGTAGGACTAGACAAATACAAGAAGAGGAAAGTTGGAAAGATACTGTCCAGGGAGTTCTCATCCTATCTGTCCAGAAGAGAAAATATCTTCATTCTTAAAATTGACATAAGAAAAGGTGAATTCACTTCGAAGCTCAAATCGTGCCAACCACAGTCCCGGGATTGATTGGATTATATTGGCTTGCTAAGAAAAAAAAATCACATAATGTTTTAAATAATGAACAAAACTTATTCAAACGGGGCGCTTATTAGGCACTTTACGACAGCTATTATTTATATATAATGAAATGTAAAAGCAGTTATTTATAAATAATGAGTTTGAAGTCAATTCGTTATTTATAATGAAATCATTGAACTTATTATAGGCCTATATAAATAATTTAAGTATACTTTTCATTATTTATATATAATGACTTGTTACCTTTTCATTATTTATATAATGGAATCATCCCATTTCATTTCATTTCATGGGTTTTGTAGGTCAACGTATTTATGTACTGTATATGTAAATAGGCCTACAGTATTATTCTAAATAACGTATTGTACAGTTATACTATATGAACCCCAGGGTTCCCCCTACACTTACAAAACAAAACATGGATTTAAAACTTCAAAAACTTTTAGCGTTGCCAGTTCTGAACTGACGTGCAGGAAAATTTGTACACATAAAAGGGGATTTTTCCAACAAACGTTCATCGCCCTTTTTGTAAGTTGGACCCCAGGGCTCCTCCTATGCCTACAAAACAAAACAATTAAGGGTTTCAGGAAGGACTGTACATTATTGACATTACCACTAATTACTAACATCGCATGAATGGCGCAGTTGGTTAAACATGTGTTCTAAAGTACTTAAGGTCGTGGGTTCGAATAGCGTATAATTATTTAATATTTTTCTTTTTCCAATTTTAAGAATTTATTTCTGTTAAATTTTATGCATCTTAATTTTTAATTCCAAATAATGTTTTTTATACAAATAAACATTCCACATCTTAATAATATTTGTGGCAACAATTTATTTTTTTTAATTAATAACAATTATTTCGAATATTTAAGTTTTTCTTTACTTTTGACACCATGACCATGCGCATTATTGACCCACAGTATTGACTCAAAAAAATGAAGTCTCGGAATCGACTGACTGGTACTAAGTTCATCGCATATATATGGCTTAAGGGGCGCGGTGCTTCTTCTCTCCGTTTATTTGAACAACGGCTAGATAACCTTTTTATTATTGGCTATAATAATCACTCTTATGATATTTCGTGAGGCAAACTCACATCTTAATAGCATTTGTGTTTATTATCTGACTCAAAAAAAAAAAATAAATAAATAAAAAATGTAATTGACTCAAAAAAATAAAAATAAATCAAAGTGATGCTATAGAGGGCAGCAAATGTTGTTAACTGACGTCACTGTATGTAACATGTGTTTACGTGGACACGGAGCGTTCTTTTGGCTGATGAAGTCGCCGGTAGCTGTCTACGTGGAATTTGTATTTACTTTCTGTACCCTGGGTCAACAGGGGTATCAGTTTTGGTGAACAACTAATTTTTCTTCATACTTCATATCTTACCGATTTTTCATGTAAGTAACTAATAAATTACTACCTAAAAGTAAAAACGTTCTTCCTATAGAGATAGACTAGCCTAGGCTAAGCTCACTCCTCCTAACCTATCCGTTGGCGTTACTTAGGCCTGCCTACATACATGAACAGCGCAACAACTGGATACAGATCTTAAATTACAGGGCCTAGGTAGTTAATAACTAGTATTATTTAGTGTAACAACTCTTTGGGCTAGGTAACTCCGACTAAGCCCCTCAGCTTCACCAGCATTTTACAATTTTATCAACCATTTAAAAAAAAGATAATTTTTTCGATTTGATTTATATAAGTTAGGGCCTATAGCTGATCTCCCTGGTTTGATAAAAATTAGCAGTTTGAGCTCTTTGCAAGGTTTTATCAACAACAATAACATAGGACTAACTCTTAAAGTAGGTATTGACTAGAAGTAATTTTATTCAATACTTTTGCTGTTACACCTTTAGGAAGAATACACATTGGTTTGTGACTGAAAATATAGGCATTGGTCTTTTACAATTAAGTTTTACCATTCAACCACAAACAAAGTACTTGAGTAAGCCAATTTTTTTCTTTTTTAATTATTTTTTTTAATTGCCTCATTGATATTAACATACAGGCTTCTATAACTTTTTACATACATTTGTCATGATAATTCAATATTTAAAAAGCAAGTACTTTATAGTGTTAATATTAGTTTTGCCACTATAAACAATACTTTTAATGTTTTTGTGATAATACAACTATTAACTACTAACATACTTTTATGTTTTTGATACATTCATTTATTACCTGGATGATTAATAAACTTTAACAGGAACCATTAAATTCAGCATTTAAATACAACAATGGATGATGTAGAAAGCCAGTTGAAAGTTGATCAACCATTGTTGATGACATGCAGAAATTCAAATGAAGATTTCATTAAAGAAGAGTCATTCATAGGAAGACTTCAGATGATCAGAATACAACTGGCATCAGGATTTTTTTTTGTCCTAGTTGGTTTTGGTCTTTTAGGAGTTAGGATTCTTTTCATGTAGGCTTTAATGCCTTGATTTGTAAAGGTTTGTAGTATGGTCCTAGCTTAATAATTCAGATTACTAAAATTGGTCTTTTACAATTAAGTTTTACACCATTCAACCACAAAGTACTCAAGTAAGCCAATTTTTTTCTTTTTTAATTATTTTTTTAATTGCCTCAGTGATATTAACATACAGGCTTCTATAACTTTTTACATACATTTGTTATGATAATTCAACATTTAAAAAGCAAGTACTTTATAGTGTTAATATTAGTTTTGCCACTATAAACAATACTTTTCATGTTTTTGTGATAATACAACTATTAACTACTAAAATACTTTTATGTTTTTGATACATTCATTTATTACCTGGATGATTAATAAACTTTAACAGGAACCATTAAATTCAGCATTTAAATACAACAATGGATGATGTAGAAAGCCAGTTGAAAGTTGATCAACCATTGTTGATGACTTGTATCATGTTGTCATGATGTCTCGGAATCGACTGACTGGTACTAAGTTCGTCGCATATATATGGCTTAAGGGGCGCGGTGCTTCTTCTCTCCGTTTATTTGAGCTAGGGAAACAACGGCTAGATAACCTTTTTATTATTGGCTATAATAATCACTCCTATGATATTTCGTGAGGCAAACTCACATCTTAATAGCATTTGTGTTTATTATCTGACTCAAAAAAAAAAATAAATAAATAAAAAATGTAATTGACTCAAAAAAATAAAAATAAATCAAAGTGATGCTATAGAGGGCAGCAAATGTTGTTAACTGACGTCACTGTATGTAACATGTGTTTACGTGGACACGGAGCGTTCTTTTGGCTGAAGAAGTCGCCGGTAGCTGTCTACGTGGAATTTGTATTTACTTTCTGTACCCTGGGTCAACAGGGGCATCGGTTTTGGTGAACAACTAATTTTTCTTCATACTTCATATCTTACCGATTTTTCATGTAAGTAACTAATAAATTACTACCTAAAAGTAAAAACGTTCTTCCTATAGAGATAGACTAGCCTAGGCTAAGCTCACTCTTCCTAACCTATCCGTTGGCGTTACTTAGGCCTGCCTACATACATGAACAGCGCAACAACTGGATACAGATCTTAAATTACAGGGCCTAGGTAGTTAATAACTAGTATTATTTAGTGTAACAACTCTTTGGGCTAGGTAACTCCGACTAAGCCCCTCAGCTTCACCAGCATTTTACAATTTTATCAACCATTTAAAAAAAAGATAATTTTTTCGATTTGATTTATATAGGTTATAGCTGATCTCCCTGGTTTGATAAAAATGAGCAGTTTGAGCTCTTATCAACAACAATAACATAGGACTAACTCTTAAAGTAGGTATTGACTAGAAGTCATTTTATTCAATACTTTTGCTGTTACCCCTTTAGGATGAATACACATTGGTTTGTGACTAAAAATATAGGCATTGGTCTTTTACAATTAGGTTTTACCATTCAACCACAAAATACTCGAGTAAGCCAATTATTTCTTTTTAAATTATTTTTTTAATTGCCTCTGTGATATTAATATACAGGCTTCTATATCTTTTTACATACATTTGTTATGATAATTCAACATTTAAAAAGCAAGAACTTTATAGTTTTAATATTAGTTTTGCCACTATAACGATATACTTTTTATGTTTTTGTGATAGTACAACTATTAACTACTAGAATACTTTTATGTTTTTGATACATTCATTTATTACCTGGATGATTAATAAACTTTAACAGGAACCATTAAATTCAGCATTTAAATACAACGATGGATGATGCAGAAAGCCAGTTGAAAGTTGATCAACCATTGTTGATTTGAAATTCAAATGAAAATTTTATTAAAGAATAGTCATCCATGGGAAGACTTCAGAGGATCAGAATACAACTGGCATCAGGATTTTATTTTTGTCCTAGTTGGTTTTGGTCTTTTATGAGTTAGGATTCTTTTCATGTTTCTTACCTCAGCCACAACAATTTTGGGACTGAGATGGTCTCCCCATCTGTGAAAGCCCCTTCCTGGGTCCCCGCTATTTCAAATTCCTGGATCTGCCACTGTATCATATTATGCCACCCATTATCGCGTCGGCAGAGGGTTAGGTGTGGGGAATTAACATTGTCATCAGATATCCTCAGGCTAAAATATTAATTTGCCAATCAAATCAACTGTCATTACAATCCCTAATATTGTGGTCTGAAATTACAATTTTTACCATCCTTTAGACTGAGCCAACTATCAAGAGAATTACTCAGGTTCTGTACCACAAGGTAGCACTGTGCCTTGACCACTTCTGTTGGACTTGGCTGACCTCTTTTGTTGGCACGTTTCTGGAGCTAACACAAGAACAATTGTCATTATTTAACTAACAATATCTCTGGATTCTTAACGCTTTTGTTTGCTTTTACAGTACACAAATATGGCTGCAGAAGAGATCCTTGTGACAGGTGGAGCGGGTTATATTGGGAGTCACACCGTCTTGGAACTGGTAGAAGCAGGCTACAAGCCAGTGGTCGTCGACAACTTTGTAAATTCTATGAAAGGTGCATAATTGACAACTTGACTAAAACTGGCATAGACTTCACATACACATAATACAAATATTGTCTGTTTGGTTCTACTGTACTGAACTGAATGTTGGATTACTTTGTTGTTTGCTTTTCTTATCTTAAGTAGTTCAATTTTATAGTATGTCTTGCTTTTAATGTGTTCCTTTCAGTGGAAATGGTAAATTATTTGAAAGTGACAAGTCTGACATGCGTGTGTCTTGCCACATTAAAAATATAGCATAAAGCTAGTATTTGTAATGAAAATACATTTTGAAGATAAAGAATTCAATGAAACATCATTGTTTTATTTTCTGACAGGGAGCAATGGTCAACCAATAAGTATATGTCGAGTTGAAGAAATTACAGGGAAATCTATACCATGTTATGAAGTAGACATTCTCAACAAGGCTTCATTAACTGATGTTTTCAAAAAGGTGATAATTATTTCATGCATTAAGAAATATTCAATGTGTTATTTTACTTTTATTTACTGATCAACATAATTCAGATTTTTGCATAAACTGAAGAAGGTTGCTGTGGTGGGGTGGTTATTGAAATCGTACAGTATGAATTTATTCCTTTAGTGTAGCATGTTGTGTTGATTGTTCAGACGTAAAAAGTGGATGTTCATGCATGAGATTAATCAGTGATGTAAATAACATTCTCTTATTTTTCACAGCATAATATTACATCAGTAATTCATTTAGCTTCACTAAAGGCTGTGGGAGAATCAATACACGAACCACTCCGCTACTATAAGGTCAACGTTGGAGGCGCAATTAATCTGCTTGAGGTGAAGTTGAATGTTATAGCTTCTAACATTGAGAATACTGTGATAATTGGTCAGAAAATACAGGATTTGTTAGTCAAAATTCTGTATCAGCAAAATATTAATTGTTTTGATCTGTCTTATTGGAAGATAATAACTTGTTTGATCCCTTTTACTAGATTTCTAAAGTTGTTTTCTGAATGTTATTTTAAAATACATTGTTTTAGCTGGAGCTTGTTTCTGTTTTTTAAACTCAGTAAACATAGTAAATGGTAAATGGTATGCAGTACTGATGTAATTTGTCATTACAGTACAATACATTCTAGTTTTGAGTATATTTTAATCAACAGGTTATGAAAGAAGAAGGAGTGAAAAACATAGTATTTTCAAGCTCAGCAACGGTTTATGGTTTACCAGAGAAATTGCCCTTGACAGAAGAACATCCAGTGGGTAAAGGCATCTCAAATCCTTACGGAAAAACAAAGTTCTTCATTGAGGACATCCTGCGTGACTGCAAGCAAGCGGATAAGGTGAGATCCAAGGCATAATCAAGAAATAGATGCCAAACACATTCGTTCTTCTAACTGTATTTTGAAAAATGGTCAAAAGCAGGCTAGAAAGATTCAGAACATGCCTTTCAATGAGTTTAGTAGCTCTGAGAAAGAAATTTGTCTCCTATGAAATTCTTAAAATTGGAGCTGACACAACAGAATTTTATAATGTATTATTAGTAGCGTTGCAGCTGCTGCCGGTGACGGCGACGCCATTTGCTGTTGTCCCATTGACAGATCCAGGAGTGACGAGACTCTCCAATTCGGCAGAGCCTGAGGATTTTAATGTGACCATTGATTTTCCATTGGCAATGGTGACCCTTGGCAAATGAATTGTAGCTAACTTGTTTGAAGTCTTTGTATTTTCTGGTTAAGGATATTTGTTTCATTCACTCAATTAATTGAATTGAGAAATTATTGATATATAATCCAGTCATCATGGCACTTCGTAATCTTTTAAATAACAAACAGTATTTTTTCTTGCAAAGGATTTAAATGTTGTCATCCTGAGGTACTTCAATCCAGTTGGTTCTCACAAGTCCGGCAAACTTGGTGAAGATCCCCAGGGTCCTCCAGCAAACCTAATGCCATTTGTCGCACAGGTAGCAGTAGGACAACGACCTGAGGTCAAAGTGTTTGGCAATGATTATGATACACCTGATGGAACAGGTAATTTCAGTTAAAAAGTCATCAGCAATATATGTATTTTCAATATATTATATGCATCTTTGGAAAATACATGGCTAGATAATACACCCTTTCTTACTACTGGGAAATTTATATATCTCTGTGTATTACATTGCCTCAATGCTCCCCAAGTTTTGCTTTCTTAAGCCCCTATCGCACTGGACTTAATTTGGTCAAATTAACCGAGTCACTGGCTAAATTGACCAAAAAAAATTCCAATCCGAACGTCGGTTACAATTCCCTCAGGGTTAAATTAACCAAGCCGAATGGTTAATTTTACCGACCTCAGCCTGCCCAGTAAAAATTACCACGGTCTCGGTTAAACTAACCACCCTTAAACTAACATACTTGTCAAGAAGTCCAATCCGGACGCGCAACAACGGTTAAAACTTCTTCCATGTTGACACCGCTCGAACAAAACTGGAAGTTGAAGTCACAAACTAGCGCCCTCAATAATATTTTTTATACACAAGGTTAAATCTTGGTAAAATTATGGTAAAACTAACCGCGTGAATAATCCAAGTGCGAACAATGGTGAAATGTACCCATGACTTTGTTTAAAGTTACCCTGGTTAAATTTACCATTTTGTAAATTTAGTGCGAACAAGGCTTTAATGGGTGTTATATTTGGCTAATGTGTCCATTCATGGATATGTTTTTGCATTCTTGTGTACAACTTTGTCCCCAATTATATATCTGTGGAAAATGCATTGCTAGGTATTGCCTCCAGGATTATGTATTCTTTGGTTTTTTGCATCTCTTGGTATTGCATAATTATATAATACTTCCTTGAAATACTTTCAATAATTTAAATATCCAATCCTTTGGAGGATTAAGAGGCAATGAACACTTTTTGACTGTTATTCTAATTTTGAAGCTTCCATTCTCTAAAAGATTCCTCTAAACAGTTTTTATAATTTTATGGAGTGTAAATGATTTTATTTTGCAGGTGTTCGTGATTACATTCACATTGTCGACTTGGCACAAGGTCATGTCAAGGCTATCGAGAAATTAAATGAGAACTGCGGCCTGAAAATTTACAATCTCGGATCTGGCAAAGGATACTCAGTACTAGAAATGGTCAAATCCCTTGAAAAGGTTTCAGGGAGAAAAGTGAGTTTGCAAGTGGATTCGATAAAAACATTACTATTTTTGTAAAATAAATAGATATAATAATAATGGTGAAGGTTTGTACAGTATGTATCCTATGCAGAAGCAAAACTTTAGACACATACATGGAGCTACATGTATCAAGTAGTGATGGTGTTAGAGGGGTCGAATGAGGAATTTTCACTCTGATAAGCATTGATTCTCCGTCATCCCCTGTTTATCTTAAAGCCAGGAACATTTATTTTATATGTTGTAGAACTGATTTTCTAAGACACAAAAAAATGAATATCTTAGAAGCAGGTAATGATATACAGATTTTTGAATATTTAAAAACTGGAGGAAAAGGTGGAAAATAGAATGGTTATGCCCCTTTTCCTCCAGTTTTAAATATTCAAAAATCTGTATATCATTAACCGCTTCCAAATTTTTCCATCAAATATATACTGTGTGCGTCTTAGAAAAATCGTTGTAGAACATATCAAACAATTTTTTCTTCCTTAGCCTGACTTTTAGCATGACAATTTTTACCATCTTAAACCTTAAAATTTCTTTCCCTTGGCCCACATCAGAAGTTTTACTCTTAGATCCTGACCAGGTACTTTTTAGGTTCAGACCTCCGGTCAGTGTTGGTTGGCCCTCCTCATGGCAAATTTCAGGAAATGATTCCCTGGTTCTAGTATACTGTTTTTAGAAAATTAAAAAGCAAACCAATGATTCCCTGTGTCCATGCCAATTCTATGCTAGGTGTTTGGCTCCAGACAAGCCCTGACCACCAAATTTACCGTTTTTAATCAAGAAGAAATTGAATTATATATCAAAAAAATATTTAATTTTCAGAAATGTTTGTGGTGGCCATCGTGATTTTCAAATTCGCTGCCATCTTAGTTTTTTAAAACTAGGTTTATTGGACTTGAAGAGCACAATAACATGTGATTAGACACTAAATTTGTACCATTTCTATTAATAAATGGAATTATGAAAACATAATTTTTTTTATTTATACCCTAGTGATGTTGGCATTTTAATTATACCCTAGTGATGTTAAATCAGCAGAGAAACCTTGGTCCCCGAAAAATTGTCATGGGGGGGGGGGCCCTGATTTTCACTATACTTAATATTGAGGAATAATTTTTTCCTTGCCTGTATTTCAGATACCATACAAGATTGTAGAAAGACGTGCCGGAGATCTTGCATCTGTATATGCTGACTCATCATTGGCTGAGAAAGAGCTGAACTGGAAGACAACAAGAGGTCTTGATGAGATGTGTAAGTACAGATGAATATTTATTATTAATGTAATGTGTGTAATGTGGTTTGATTTATATAGCGCTTTATACCAAAGTCTCAAAGCACATGAGGTGTGGACTAGCTCGTACAGTAACTTTCTTTTCCTCTAAAGGTCTCTTCATGTCTGAGCTACCCAGTTAACTGGTACCAGCTATTTCTCGTCTGTCCACAACAGGGGCTGTATGAACCAGTACACCAGGTTAACCCCATGCCCATCACGAAAGATGTAGTGGGTTCTTTTATGGTGTGTACTCTGGGCCTACGGTTTATAGTCCTTATTCGAGAAGATTTGCTCCACCACCAGAACCATAGGCGAGCATGCCATTCGAACCAGCGCCGATATTATGGATGTAGGTTGCGGCGCCGCTGCCTTAATCGCTCGACCATCCAACTAGCCATGTTAAACCCGAGTGCACTTTAAAGCCCCATTCCCGGCAAAATTTCACTAAAAATGACTTTTTTTAGAAAATATGTATGCATTTGCATTACTCCAATTATTATAAATCATGGAAAAATATTGGCATGAATTTTAGTTTTACGCAAAAGAATAAAAAAAATGAGAAATACAGACTATTTCTCATAAAATATTACCATTTTCTCGACGAATTCATCGTAGGCAAATTCAGAGGTTGTAGATCGCATCCACTGGAATACTCTCGCTTTTATGTATACTTTATACAGTCAATAAAGAAAAATCAAATTTCAGTCTTATTTTACATTTTTTTCATTCTTAGGAATGCCTAAATTCAGTTAAACTAGCAATTCCGTATTATATTTATAAATCTTTATAACATTATACAAAAATTAGATTTTTCCTAAAAATTGAAATTTTGGGGCTTTAAGTCTCTGTTTAGTTAACTGTGAACTTTGCACAGAAAGGATAATTAATACAGGGTAATGGTTTCTGAGATCTACCATTGTAATTTTATTGCGGAGATGTGGCTGGCCCTCCAGTCCCAGAGACATAGCTTCAATCTTCACAATTGTTTCAGGATTTTCCTTGCAACCAAAAGTTCACTCCTAATTATCATAAAGAGACTTCATCAAGGATACCAAATGATAAAATTGGTTTGATAATTAATCTTACTAAGTGTTTTACACCACATAGAATATGTTGCAAAACAAAATAGAAGGTACAGTATTTGGAATAACAAAATTAACAGACCTTCATTCTAATATCTTGTATAATTCTTAATCCCTTGCTACTTGGTTACAACAAGGAACAATTTTTGTGTATTGTAGATGTCATTTATGTTGTTCACATAATATAATTATTTTTAAATTGTTTTTCCCCATATTAGGTGAAGACTTGTGGCGCTGGCAGTCAAACAACCCTAATGGATTCAAGTCAGATTGTTAAATCCTGATTAATTTTTTGTAATTGTAATTCATCTTCTTGTATTTTATTGATTAGTCTTTTCATAAATTGACATTATTTTAGAAATTATGTTGTATTGGTACAGTACAACACATTTCTCAATCACTTGTTATGTATAACCTTTAACCTTTAATGCTGGTTGGTAATAGTTTGTCATAGATGCACAGCCTACCATTATTGTCTCCATCAATGCATAATTTGGGTACAAACATTTCAAAACCCTCAACTTAAATTTCAAGAAACTGACTTATCTAGCGATGTTACAGATGGATAGTTACCGTTAACTTCTCCATTTTTAATTTTTGAATAAAGTGTGCTACATACAGAATTGTGTTTATTAACAAGCCACAGTGTACATAAAGATAAATATTTTAACTTTTATTCTTTTTATTCTAACTCTCTTAAATATTGTCTACACGGTCATATTTCATCAAAAAAGCATTACATAAAATTTGATGGAACGTTGAGTTGAACACGTTTAACAATTTGATGATATGCGATATGATGTCATCGTACCCATATATGGGCACATCACATTTTTTTGTCACATGAAATTTGATAGTGTTGACAAAGCTTAACGTCTGGTGCGGTATGCACACACAGTGCTGAAATTTCTTCGCATGCAACTTCTGACGAATGATCGGTCGAATTCTGGAGCCTTCCCGATGGCGCCGGGGACAGCTACGCAGTACAACAATTGCACGAAAAAACACTGTAGTGACAGTGTAGCGATTTTAATGAAACCAAGCTTAAGCTGACAAAGGACTTTTGTATGCCCATATATTATGTGATGTGCCTATACATGGTCATGATGTGCCTATATATGGTCATGATGTGACATCATCATGACCTTGTTTAGGCATGTCACATGTTTTGTCAAATAACATTTGATTGTATGGACAGGGTTTAAGAAAGCTTCTGGATAAAATGTATTAACATAGTATTGACAAATTTAAGTATTAGATGATATCTCAGGTGAATGGGAAATTTTTTTTAATTTTTAATTTTTCTTTTTTTTTTGTGCAATATTCTCCAGAATGATTGAATTCAATAATTATTTTATTAAATTTCTTGTTTTTCCCAATAAAATTAGAATATCAAATATGGTACATTCTTTTTTCTTTTCAATGTTTTTTTTTAATTTAAAAAAAAAAACCAAAATCCTCTGCTCAGAGAAATATAAAGCATACAGTTTGACTGAGATGAAAGAGAAAAAAAAGGCAGAGAAACTAGTATATAAAAAAGACTCCATTTGACATTTCAAAAACCTAATGAAACTTCATGACATTTCAAAAACCAACTTAAGTATAGACAAGGATTTTCAAACCATTTTAAAAGTATAGTTTAGGTTACATACAATGTACGTTTTTTTTAAATAATACTTTAATATATTTTTTTAAATATTTGAACACTTAAACATAAGCTATTAACAAATTAGATTGTTTCGAGACCAAATACTGTATGGCTTTCAGTCTTGATTTATAACAATTATTTTGTGAGCCAAAAAGAATATTTGTTTGTTTGATTACTTATTAAATAGAGTATTATGAAAAAGATGATGTATTTAAAATTAATATATAATATTGTATAATAATAATATCCCTTGACTTTTTTTGTATACATACTGTAGGGAATTCATTTGATATGATTTTGTCTTCCTTATTATTTTAAATGAGTATGTAACTATCATTAAAAGTTCTCACTCAAAGAACAATAAATGCTTTATTCTGACAACATGTATGTATTTATTTAAATTCTGTTGTTATTTTGTTATTTGGTATATACATAGCGCCTATTCCTTTACGTTACGAAGTGCTTTGTTTTCCCCTGGTCCTTGGGTCCACATGCTTTGCTGCCATATTGGCGCAGTAGCAGGCAACCCCACAAGGTACCCATTTATATTCCTGGGTGGAGAGAAGCAATGCCTTATTGCTTAATTAAAGACAAGCGAAATGCACAGCGAGTAAATGAAACCCCGACCTCAAGGTTCGGAAACCAAACCGTTCCCGCTGCGCCAAACAGCTTCCACAGTTGATGAATTTAATATGTTGGGAAGGGTGGGGGAGGGAGAGTGTAGTTGTGCATGTGTGTGTTACCTTGCTTTTTAAACAAGCAAACTGAGAAACTGTTTCAGTGGTGGTTATTTTAGAGTGTCTGTGCTACACTGAGTTTTTAAACAAGCGAACTAAAAATTTATTTTGGTGTTTAGGGGAGAGTCCATACCCACCGCAACCCCACCGTGGTTGAGCTGAGGTGCGAACATTTGAGGAAAAAGTACCTTTAGATGGCAGAAAATGACACTCTTAAGTAAAATTCATCATCGCATCACCATTATAGTCAAAATGAAGCGCCAGTAAATTTCTCATGAAATCATCGATTTTCGGCAACCATAGCCATTAGTATGTGTAATGAGGCCATAGAAAATAAGACTTAAACACATCGTCTTTGATGTATTTACTTTACTTCATCACTTCAAAGATAAGATATGAGTCCACAACCATCTCAACCCCACCATGGTTGGGGCTGAGGTGCGAACATTGCGGAAAATAGTACCTCTCATGGCCGGAAATAGGCCCATCACTTTAATATATTAACATTCGTCATCATCACATCAACATTATAGTAAAAATGAAGGGCCAACAAATTTCTCCTGATCTTTTATCATCGATTTTCCGCAACCATAGAGATTACTTAATATGCGTGATGTACCATAGAAAATAAAACTTAAAACATTGTTTTTTGATGTATTTACTTTAATTCACTTACTTCAAAGCCGTAAGTCCACACCCACCTCAACCCCATCATGGTTGAGAAACAACACCTCAAGGTGGCCGGAATGACACTGTTATATTGCAAAATTCATCATCATCACATCACCATGATCTTTAATCTGTCTTTGATTAAATTGTCTTTGATGTATTTACTTTAATTTACCTACTTCGTGTGCCTAAAACCAGTCTTATACTTTTTCTCATAGACCTACTTCTCAAATTATAAAAAAGGCACGCGTATTACAAACAATATAGATGTTAGTTGGCAGAGATACCGAAATCTTGCTATAAAGATAAGATAAAATGTACAGCACTGTACAGGCCTTTTCGTTAAAACCTGGGTCACTAATTATGCAGTTCAATTCAACAACTTTCAGGCATCTTCTTTACTTATGAAATTACGTTGCGGTCGAAAAGTGAGTGTTACCAAAACCCCCTTAAAATATGTGGGGGACGTGTCCCTCCTCTCCCCATGATCTGCACCTATGCTGGGGTAACCAATAGAGCCACTAACCGGTCCCCTCAAGGGGGGACACAACACCATGGTTGGAAAAAATTGCTCCTCTGCCAGGAAATAGCACATACAAATATTACAAAAATGAATGTCCCTCACTTTAAAAGGGTGATAAATTTTGATTGCAAATTAGGCCGGCTTGACCATTAATACCATTGTGTCACATAACAGCCTCTATACTTATTCCATTGGAGTTTTTTTTTTTTTTTTTTTTTTTTTGTTAAATTCGATTCTTATCCCATAATCATCAACATAATAATAATTACCGACATCATCATCACCGCGATCATCATCATCGCCATCATCATCAAATCATCAACCGTCATCATCATCATCATAACCACCAACACCATCATCATTATCATCATCGCCATCAATATCATCATAACCCCATCATCATCATCATCATCATCATCATTATTATAATAATAATAATTATTATTATTATGCCTATTATGCCTATTATTATTATTATTATCATCATCATCATCATCATAATCATCGTCATCATCATCGTCATCATCATCATCATCATCATCATCATCATCATCATCATCATCATCATCATCATCATAAGGAATGGCGCATTAGAAAAAGAATGATTTTTTTATACCACTCCAGGCGGCGTTCTATTGCAGTTTGAGATCCATGGCTAAATGGAAAAAAAAAGATCAGCCTTTATCTTGTGATTAATCTCTTAGGTTTTCACACCTACACATAAGCAATCCTTGACTGATGCACATTTATTTTAAAATGTTATGCCATAAGTTATATAGTGGGCTACGAATAATGTTGTATTTCATGCTTTTAAACATTTTCACGCTTTTTCCGTTAAAATTGGATACCGTAAGTACTTACGAAGATATGATATTAATCACTCTTCTTGGTAAGGTTTTAGTCAGCTATTCAATATAATAACTTACACCCCTCTGCCGATAGCCATTTAAGCAAGGCATTAATTATCAGCCAGAGATGAATAGAAACGCATTTGCCAAGAAGATGCAATTGTTTGTGGGCCTATGCTAGATTACTATAATTATAAGGAGGTGTTCTGATGGACATTTTTTAGGGACCTATGTATTATACACCTTACAATTGTTATTATTATTATTACTCAATATCGCTAAGCATAGTGACGTTATATGAATGTTAGATCTAGTAACTGCATCATGAAACAAATTAAAACAGCAACAGGTATATAGCAAACAAGAGAAACGTTTTATTTATTTATTGTATAGTCTTCTGTATACCTATAGTACCTATGTTGACTTTTTTTATTATTATTTTCTTTTTTTATGCATTTTAGGATTGTATATTTTATTGTCATTTTCTTTTTATGACCCTAATATGCTCATCTGTGTTTGAATTTTTTTTTCTATTTGTAGCAAACTTTACATTATATATGTTGAAACAGGGAAATACTAATCGTCTTCAGGAGAATAATATCTGCAGACACTCCAAACAGGGAAATACTTATATAAGTATTTCCCTGTTTATTTCAGGGAAATACTTATATAAGTATTTCCCTGTTTGTGTCAGGGAAATACTTATATAAGTATTTCCCTGTTTGTGTCTGCAGATATTATTCTCCTGAAGACGATTGAAGCATCTCAATCGAAACGTCGAGACTTTCTCAACAACAACAGTTCTTTTCAGAACTACTTACGTGGTGTACCGCAAGCTTCAACATATTATTTCTTCGCCATGCAAACCTTTAAACAAAACTTTACATTGTTGTCACAGTAAATAATTGAATATAGCTTGCTATCTATTAATCATTTCCCAGTGTCTAGTTGTGGGAATGGTCAACAAACAACTATTTAACATTAATTTGGTAGTTAATTCCAGTAAACAATGTATTCACAAATAACTTTAGAAGGCTGTTTACTTGAAATAATGTTTATCTACTTTCACTCAATAGACTTTTTGAAATGTAGCAAGATCTACACCATGGTTTTCTGCAGTTTCATTCCGTGTTGATAGGCTGCCCAGTGTAAAACAGGGCACACATCTGGGGAATCATCTTGGGTACCCTCCAAAAACAACAGTTATTAGTCAGGAAATAACAATAATTATTAGGAAAAGTTAACTATAAAGTATTAATTTTTTTCCTACTAAAATTTTAATAACTTAATACATGAAATATTGTAACAATTGTGATTTATTAGTCAGACAATTATGGGTACTACAATATTTTTTTTTTTTAATTACATCATATGCTTTATAATTATTTGGCTGATTCCATGGTAACCGATGTTACAATTCATGTATATACACATCTCATGTCCAAGAGTTAGACAAAACATGAGGGAAGGAAAATTAGGTTATAAAACTTTGATTAGAGCATTGCTTTGGCCTTTTTTCGACTTATGCGTAAAATATAAGTGGTTCTGTTTTGAGTTTTCATTTTTCATTTGCAGGTCTCTGTTTTCAAATATAAAACAGACCACTACCACCACCACCATTCTTTCATATAAATTATCCTATCTAACAATCATTCATATATTTTAAGATAAAAAAAGGCAATAACAAATCAAGCAAGACTATAATAGCTAGGTGCCAGCAGCGCAGCTTAAAAAGCAAAATAATATAAAAAGAAAAAATAAAATAACTTCTAAAACTCCGGAGAGTCAGCTGCTGGCTTCTCTTCCTAGATTATACCTTTCAATGCATTATAAACCCTGCAATGGAAGCATGTCATGCGCAGATACCAAAATGTCCACGAAATTGTTCAAGCGGAACTCTCAGCAAAATTAGATATGAAGATGTGGGGTAGGAAAAAAGTCCTGAGAAGGTTCATAAAACCATTCATACGTTAACTCAGATATAAAGGTGGGCTGAATCACTCGTGCGGAACTCTGCTATGCAAAGTTGTAGGCGCATTGTGTATACTGTAGCTTGTACCTAAATACAACGTTGGGAAAAAATTATATATTATAGTAAATATTATATATTATATAAAATATTATATATTATATAAAATGTGGGAAAAATTATATATTATATAAAAAATTATATATTATATAAAATATTATATATTATAGTAAATATTATATATTATATAAAATATTATATAATATATAACGTAAAAACCATGTAATTTTTTGCTAAATAATAAGTGAACAGATGGCTCCTCATAGAAAACAGATGTAACAGCAGTATGTTCTGTTAACTTTTAAAATTGTACTCGGTAAAATGGGTTATACTGAGCTGAGGTGCTAGTAAACAAAATAATGAAATTATGTCTCTAAATAGAAGTTCATATGCATCAGCCGAATTTGTACAATTGTTTATCAGTGTGATTAATCTGCTCAATAAACAATTTTAATTACTTGTGCAAATATAAAGATGTGGGTAACCCACATCTTGGTGTACGGTAAGAATGGCCCCGGAAAAAATGGCCCAGGAAAAAATGGCCCCGGAAAAAATTGGCCCCGGTAAAAATGGCCCCAAATGACAGGTAGGTAAAAATGGCCCCAATAATAAAATTCTGTATTAAAACTGATTTTTTTTAAAAAATCACTATATGCATTTTTTAAAACGGAAATAATTTAGTTTTTAAAAGGAATCTAACATCAAATAAATTGCCATTTACATTTTACTTTTTACAGAAATTACATATTCAATGATAAAATATTCAAAGATAAAAAAAAGGCCATGAATAACGCTTTTTATTTTTTTTTTCATTTAAATTTTAAAAAATAACGCTTTTTATTTTTTTTTCCATTTAAATGTTAAAAAATAGCAACAACATAATATATAAATCAACAAAATCATGCATTTATTAATACTAAAATAATTTATTTGTGGCCAATTTCAAGGAAGCGGAATCACAATTTTCCAGAAATTCAATCCGGGTATTGGTAAACCCAACAAACAATGAGTTTATATGAACATCATATTATTATTATTATTATTATTATTATTATTTTTTTTTTTTAGAAAAAGAGAGTTCTACAATCGTATTTAAAGGTTTTGGATGGGGTTCGCAGTGTGTTTGGAGGATTGTGGTGTATTTGCAAGTATTTTTTCACAAAAAAAAAATCAACATTTTAACCAAAAAATAGGTTCTTTTAAATATTTAATTTTCTTATTGATATACCAAGTGAGTCAATCACAATTGAATTGTTTGGTTTTCTACAGTGTGTTTTAGGAGGTATTTGGGATTTAGCAATACCATTTGATCCTACCATAATTCCCTCACAATTACACGCCATTTTAATTCTTAGCATAATTGCCATATTTAACATAATTCTTAGCATAATTGCCATATTTGAAGTACTGTATGTATGTCATTCCTCTACTTAGTTAGTGGAATAACGTTTTTAAAACTTATTTCAACTATCAAAAAAATGTTCAATGGCCGTTGTTTTCTGATAATCTCTCAGTACATTATTTGCATCTGTTGTGTAACTCTATTTGTTATTGATTCAATTCTTGCTTATTAGGGTCTAGGCCTACAGTATTTAAATATTTGAAGATTTAAAAAAAAATATCATTTCTATTACTGAATTTTTTTCATTGGGGCCATTTTTACCTACTTGTCAATCGGGGCCATTTTTACCGGGGCCATTTTTACAGGGGCCATTTTTTCCGGGGCCATTTTTTCCTGGGCCATTTGTTCCGGAGCCATTCTTACCTACATTCCACATCTTTATATACGACTTTTCATGGATCTCGACCTGCTATGTGACAAAGGAGACTTTACAATTAATAACAAATGTGAGTAGGGCCTACAGTATTTTGCATAGTTAATTCACTAGTTAAATTGGAATTTTGTCGTCATTCTATGGTTATTATTTAGACTAGCAGTGTTAGGCAGCCGCATTGAAGGCATTGACATTTTCTACGACAGAAGCATGGACTGAAATAGCTGCATTCTCTTCAACAACATAGTACATTTCAAGTGACGAGCTAAAACCATCGAAACTGGCTAAAGAAACGTTATTTGCTGTAATTACAGCTGGGGCTTGTTAACTTCCATTCGTTTGATTGTAGATTTGTACCTTTTTTCATTGACATTATATGCAATTTATTACCAAGAGTCTATAATTATCTGGTACACAACTTTTGACCTTGAATAATCAAAATTTGTTATAGCCCGACAAAAATATTTTCTATATTATTTTTAAAGGATAGCAGAAGTGATTGAGGAGGCCCAAATGTCACCGTCTTTATCAATACTGATGATATTAATATCTTCATGGATGTGTACTTCCATGATGTCGATATCAAATAAACTACTGTAATACTGTAGTGACGGACCCAGAAATTCGAAATGGGGGGATCCAGGGGGGACTTACACATATAAATTTATGATTATTACCTCCATGGTCCATGTTTTAGATGTCCGGAAACGACTTAAATATGAATACAATTTTCATTTTATTCTCCATTTTTGAATTAATTTTTGAATAATTTAGGCGGGGGCCGGTTGCACACTTCCACTTTTCAAAAATACCGAGCAGTTGAGTATTTTATAGGACTATAATAATAATAATAATAATAATAATAATAATAATAATAATAATAATAATAATAATAATGACGACGACGACGACGACGATGATGATGATGATGATGATGATGATGATGATGATGATGATGATGATGATGATGATGATGATGATGATGATGATAATAATATATAGGCCAATAATGAAATAAAGCGCCGGTATCCGTTTGACAGAAAAACGCTCATGGCGCCCTTAAAAAAGAAAGTCGAAATGTGAAATACATTGTTTATCTTTCAGCTAATGACAGACAAGATCGTGTATTCAAATTGGACCTCATTGGAAATGGGCTGGAATCCGACCTAATGGGCGTTCCTGATGCTCGGTATTTTTTACCTATTCCTGATCTCAATCCATTTGTTATCTTGCTTGTGCATATAAATTCAATCAATCATTCAAAAAATATTATATCATGAAAAATGTTTGTATGAAGATATAGTTACAGTATTATGTTTACTGTTTGAATATGCTGTATTTATGAATCTATATATTCATTTCTATCGAATAGTACACTTTTTATTAATTTTATTATTACTATTATTGCGCAATTGCGATCTACTAGTCACTACCCAATACCATGTACGGTATTTAATAATCCTCGCATCATTCCGTAATATGATGATACTATAAATAATTAATATTTAATATGATAATGCTGATATAAGTATTGTGAAGTACTATTACGTTGTATCAGCAGCATTATGCATTGCGATAACAGAATACGATAGATAAGGTTGGGGTGCCCACTCATTTTTCAGTGGCGAACTTACGTGGGTGGACAGCCGGCCTGCCCCTCCCTCCTCCCCCGAATCTTTTAAAATGGTAAAAAAAATTGTAGAAAAAAAGAAAATTACATTCAAATTATAAATACGAGAGTGCCATTAATTAATATTTTCTGGCCATCTAAAGGTACCATAATCAAAAAGTTTCTTACCTGGCCCCAACCATGGAGAGGCTGAGGTGGTGGGAACCCTTCATTTTGCATACTGAATTATAATTCTTTCTCTGTTTCTTAAACTTTTCTTAATATTTTTCTATTCCAGTGATGTAGACAAAGAAGCCACAACTATGTCTGAACTGAAAGGGCAACAGAACTTACACATTTTTCATAGATAGCCACAAATTATGTCACTCATCAAGCTTCTGGATATGAAATTAGTTAAAATATAGTGTGAATTTTATTTTTAAAATATTTTCCTCTGCAAAAATCTCAAAAATAGTGTTAGCAATATGTATTAATTCTTGTTGGCTGTATGTTTATTAATATTGTATTACTACTGCTAATGTTTATCTTATTAATAAAGTAACCCATTTTTTGTAAAGAATAGATATTTAAGATTTTACAACATGTAGGACCTAAGCTGCAGCATTTTGAGGATTAAAATCTAGTCTATTAATATAGACCTACAGTATATAAATATAAATGTATACATATATCCCAACTTGATTTCAATGCTTGAAAATAAATATCAAATGGAATTGTGCATATCTCTTCTCATCTTATTTAATGTCGGTGTTTACTGCAATAAATTCAATAGCTAAAATATCTTTATTATAAGCTTAAACCAAAAGTGAAGAATTGCTTCATCAATATGTGCTACTTTAATTATTAAACTGGCAATTCTTTCAAGGACGCCCTCAACAAAAACCTGAAATGACGTGGTTGCTAAGCAACAAGCTCATGCATAAACATGAATATTCAGTGACACCTGTTCTAATTAGACTAACAATAAAATCTTTTTGGTCGATTTTGTCAAAACTGAGCTAAAAGTTTTTATTGTTAGTCTAATGAGCACAGGTAAAATAAATATGCATGAGCTGTAGCCTAGCAACTGACGTCATTTCCTGTTTTGTAAAATTCGACAGCACCTTTCCCTGAAAAGTTTCGAAATTTGTTGGCATCATGTGAATATATTTAGAAAGAGTGTTTATACGATATGGTAGCCTGTAATAGTGCTATATTCGAATTCGAATTGACTATAATACATTTAATACGATTATATACTGATAAATAATCATGAAATAGGATATGATATAATTAATGCAATTACGACAAAGGAAGTACACACAATGATGTATTATAAATTACACATTTTACTTTTATTTCTTACATACTCGGAAATGTTACATCAGAACTATATAAACGTAATATAAATAGAATATAAAGATTCAAGTTTTATATAATATAATAGAATAATGCTTAGGCCTAATTATATTTAAGGATGTAATATCGTTCGAGAATTACTTGTTCGTTGTATAAGAAACATAGGCCTAATTGGCAGATTTGATTCAATTCCGGCGATCCAGTGATATAAATCCTAATAAATATCCGCGCACGATTATTTGTAGAATTAAGACCTCATAAATCCGACTATTGATAGCATATTGTGTTCCTAATACACATCGTGTTCCGCTGACAATGGTACATCGACTTCCCACGTATTGATGGATCGGTAGATTTGACCTGAGACACTGAAATAAAAGAGATTGAACTAGTAAGAAATACATTCAAACTTAATTTCATTTTGGCATCTGTGGTTAGAAATTTTTTAGAAATCTCTGGATCCGCCCCTGTAATGTGTAATCGATATGCACACAAACCTTTTTGTAAAATAATTAAACAATCATCTCAGTTTAATTGTATCTC